TGTTCGGACCCCGTTCCAGGGGGCGCTGACGAGCCGCCCTGCCACGCCCGGGTACCAGCTTCAGCCCGGCTCTGATGGCCGCGGGTTCTGACCCGTGTGCAAAGTTTCAAGAGTTTTCGAGCATGTTAAGGCCCAAAAGTGCCCAAAGGTAGTAAATAATAATTAATAATAATAATAATAGTAAAGAAAAATAATCCAAGGAAACAATAGGGCCTTCGCCCTTTCAGGGCTTGGGCCCTAATAATCCTAAGGAAAACAATAGGGCCTTCGCCTTTTAGGGCTTGGGCCCTAATAATAAAGGAAAAATATAGCTGCGAGCAGCGATGGCGGGCCCAAGCCGGTGGCACCGCAACCCCGGTTCCTTTAGTTACCTAAATGCACCGGGTGGCGGTGCCGAAGGCTTTGGCCCTTTTATGATTAAATGTTAAAACGGCTTGCCATACTCTGTCATTTCGACTAGTCACAATTATGTTACAGATATCTTAAATGATAATACAAACTATCCAAAATGTAATTACGAATAGACAGAAAGACGTTGTTGATATCTACAATGTTAATTCCGGACAGGCAAACTTAGCTTTTAAATGTTAAAAGGGCTTGCCATACAGGGACGTAGGCTCAGAGAGAGGCTCACCATATTCAAACCAAAATATCTGACTTCCTCTTGGTCCGAGCTAATGACTATGTATTAGAAAGTTGTCCGGCTTGAGGAGTACAATGTATATAGCGATTTTTGTAACTGTAGATAAAACTAACAACCCCACTTTTGTCAAAAGGTGGCGCTATTTAGTCCTTGCACTATGCCCGTTTCTGAAACTTTGCACATGTCTACTGGCTAATAAATGTGATGTATCTGTTGAGTTTCAAGCAATTTCAATTTCAATTTGACTGTTGAAAAGAAGTGCGCCGATTAGATACTCAGGATCGGTATCGGCTCTGACACTGCCATCTTTGACGAGGCTGATTCAAATTCTATATTGTGCATATATACTATTCTATGTTAGGCACAAAGGCACAAAAACTTTCTAAAGTACCATAAAGTTTTTGTGTACTGTATTATTAGTGTTCTGAAGCTATTATGTGATATAGAAATTAATATTTAAGTCATTAAATTCAAGAACACAAACTTTTCCCTCTCTGCGCCTGTCAGTCATTCTCCATTCAGCATTCAAACAGCACGTCACATTCGGTTACAGTCAATGATGAAACGATCTTCAAGATGATTGAATGTTAATCCTATTATACTGGATCTTTAAGATAAAGGTCTAAAGGTCTATATTTTCGAATGAAGAAACTTTTTCTTGCTGGACTTTATTGCTGTAACTTAACCGTGTTACTTTCTACCGGGTGTCGGACGCTGTCGGTTAGATCACAACACTAGAGTCAGAGCACTATAATTGTTCTTCACGCACACAGTAACTGAAATTTAAAACCTTTAAAAGAAAAGGCTCAATAAACTATTGCATAGATAGATAATGTATAATACACTGTTCATAAATATGTATTTCCTTTGTGCTTTGAACTTTTCAATACGGACTCACTGCGCTGTAACTTCATGTGGCTTCAAGCACATCATTCTCCGCTCGGGATGCACATAAGTGCTTTGTGCTGCACCGTATTGGAGCCGTAATATCATAATGCAGTGACGTAATGACAGATTATTAATTGCCTTTCAATTATATGTTGCTGCGTCATTAAACATCTGTCCTATGCATTTCAAACATTTATAGCAGCCATGGCTATATTTTTTTTATGATTTTTGTTATCTTGTTTTTCATGAATGTATTTTTCAAAAATAAGAGCAATGTGTATTATCTATTATTAATATGGTTTATAATAGCATTTTTGTCATAGATTATGACAAAGTAATCATATGATCCACCAGCGAGGAACCAGCAGAACAGAGTGAACATTCTTTCTGTTTAGTTCAATCCTACTTAATAGGAATTTATTTAAAATGCTCGCTCTACTCCACACCATTAATGTCTTGTGCGGACATCCGTATTTCGACTTTCGGTTTTAAGTAAGCGATTTAAAAGCTCCCAAGTCCCAGCGGAGTCACACGTTGATTAACCGGTGGGAATATACACAATAGGCCTACCTGATATTGAACACAAGAGGGCAGTATAGCACTACGTATGACTCAGATTATTATTTTTTTATGAATTTTACAACAATTCTGGCTGTTTTTGAACGTAAACATAATTCTTAAATGAAAAAAAGGAAAAATTGGGGAAGTTATAATATTTGTATAATTTAATTTAGAAACAAATGATGTATAATTACATTTTTAGAAGATATGAGGCTTTTAGTGTTTACTTTTTTGACATTACTTTAATCTTTTGCCATAGTTGCACATGTCTACTGGCTAATAAATGTGATGTATCTGTTGAGTTTCAAGCAATTTCAAGCATGCTAAGAGTCCCAAAAGCATCAAAAAAGAATGTTAAAGTTTGATTCGTTGCCACGGCAACAGTATCAAAGATATCAAAAATTCATTCACAGGTCTACATCTGCCGTGTATTTACATTATACAGATGAAGTTTGAAGCAAATCGGTTAAAAATAAGAGATTGGTTTCAAAGCATTTTGAAAGTGACACACTTCCTGCTGCCAGTTGGTGGCGCTATAATTTTGACTCACAATAGTCACATCCATGTGATCGGTCTCTTACAGCGAAAACACTGCTGAAGTTTCATCAAGATCAGTTAATGTATGCTGAAGTTATAACACACATCCTGTTTCATGTTTCTCGCCATAATTTCGTTTCCTCGCCACGGCCAAACCGTTCGAGATATAAAAAATTCCTTGGCACCTTTTCATCCTTAATGTCTTGACTTCACGCTGATCGAGTTTTGTCGAATTTGGTTCAGTGCTCTAGGAGCAATACTTTAAATTCCATTGCATGTGTTTTAAACACAACCCTAAATAGCCGTCTTCCTGTTGGGCTGGGGTAAAAAGTAAGAGTGTGAAGTAGGCTATATATGAAACGATGAGATCTATATGTGTACCAAGTTTCATATTATTACATGCAAGTGTGTTTGATTTATGGACCAAATTTTCAGACCAAGTTTATTGACCAAGTTAATCTGATTAATAAACTAATTATATAAAACTATTGTCAATGCACTACAATTAAACTAGTTATATGTCTTTACTTATAAAAAATAAAAATAAAAACTTATTTAAAAAATACCAGGCTTGAGAAATGTATTTTCTTTATGCAGGTCATACACACAGCAGTGAAATGGTTAAGCCCCCTCCCCCTGCACACTCACACACACACAGACAGCCAGCCAGCCAGCCAAAGACACAGAGACATGTAGGCTCAGAGTGACCATATTCAAACAAAAATATCTGAGTTTCTGTGGGTCCTAGCTAATAAGTGTAAATTAGAAAGTTGTCCGGCTCGAGGAGTACAATATACATACCAATTTTTGTAACTCTAGTTAAAACTAACAACCCCACTTTTGTCAAAAGGTGGCGCTACTGAGCCCTCACCACGCCCGTTTCTGAAACTTTGCACATGTCTACTGGCTAATAAATGTGATGTGTCTGTCGAGTTTCATGCATTTTGAAGCATGCTAAGGGTCTCAAAAGCATCCTAAAAGCATCCTAAAAGAAGGGTAAAGTTTGATGCGTCGCCACGGCAACAGTTTCAAAGATATCAAGAATCCATTCACAGGTCTACATCTATCGTATGTTTACATTATACAGATGAAGTTTGAAGCAAATCGGGTAAAAATAAAAGGGTGATATCAAAGCATTTTGAAAGTGACACACTTCCTGCTGCCAGTTGGTGGCGCTATAACTTTGACTCACAATAGTCACATCCATGTGATCGTCCTCTTACAGCGAACACACTGCTGAAGTTTCATCAAGATCAGTTAATGTATGCTGAAGTTATAACACACTTCCTGTTTCACGTTTCTCGCCATGATTTTGTTTCCTCGCCACGGACAAACCGTTCGAGATATCAAAAATCCCCTCGCAAACTTTCATCCTCAATGTCTTGACTTCACGCTGACTGAGTTTTAGTCGAATTTGGATCAAAGCTCTAGGAGGAGTATTTGACATTCCATTGCGAGCGTTTTACAAACAAACCTCAATAGCCGACTTCCTGTTGAGCTGGGGTAAAAAGTAAGAGCGCGAGGTATAGATGAAACGATGAGATCAACATGTGTACCGAGTTTCATATTATTACATACAAGCGTGTTTGAGTTATGGACCAAGTGTTCGGACCCCGTTCCAGGGGGCGCTGACGAGCCGCCCTGCCACGCCCGGGTACCATCTTCAGCCCGGCTCTGATGGCCGCGGGTTCTGACCCGTGTGCAAAGTTTCAAGAGTTTTCGAGCATGTTAAGGGCCCCAAAAATGCCCAAAAGGTAGCAGAAAAATAAAAAGAAGAAGAAGAATAATAAATAATCCCAAGGAAAACAATAGGGCCTTCGCCCCTTCAGGGCTTGGGCCCTAACAATAGGGCCTTCGCCCTTTCAGGGCTTGGGCCCTAATAAGAATCCTAAGGAAAACAATAGGGCCTTCGCCCTTTCAGGGCTTGGGCCCTAATTAGAAGAATAATAAATAATCCCAAGGAAAACAATAGGGCCTTCGCCCTTTCAGGGCTTAAACCCTAATAATCCCAAGGAAAACAATAGGGCCTTCGCCCTTTCAGGGCTTGGGCCCTAATAACCCTAACAGTTTCAATAGGGTCCTCGCACTGTTAGTGCTTGGGCCCTAAAAAAATAACCCTAACAGTTTCAATAGGGTCCTCGCACTGTTAGTGCTCGGGCCCTAAAAATAACCCTAACAGTTTCAATAGGGTCCTCGCACTGTTAATGCTCGGGCCCTAATAATAATCCTAACAGTTTCAATAGGGGCCTCGCACCGTTAGTGCTCGGGCCCTAAAAATAATCCCAACAGTTTCATTAGGGGCCTCGCACCGTTAGTGCTCGGGCCCTAAAAATAATCCTAACAGTTTCAATAGGGCCTCGCACAGTTAGTGCTCGGGCCCTAATGATTAATCATTTTGTACCTTCAGAAGTTGACTTGTTTCCACACTAGTGTGCATTCCAGACGTGCTCCCAACAGACTTCTGCTCAGCACTCACCTGAGAGAAAACATTTATATCAGATACAAAAATGAGTAGCTGACAAATAGACATTTTCAAAGATCTCAGAGTAAATTATTTACATGTGTTGAGGGAAAATGTGTTTTAAAATGCTTTAATCAAAATGCGGTGAGCTTTTTACTACATTCGGAGTTTGGTGTGAGTCCCCTCGAATGTTTCTTGCAGAGCATTTATGTCTTTTCATGATCTGACCAGTAAAAACAAGTGAGTTGAGCAAGTGTAAATACACTTAGAAATGCAAGGGATTCCATCACATTTATAGTGTAAATGCTAATGATTTTTTTTATTTGTCCCAGACAGCAAAACTGCCTGCTTAACTGTGAATTGCACAAATACAAACTCAATGGGAACAAATTGTCTGACATTCAAGTAAAGGAGTAGTTTACTTTAAAAAAAACTTTTGCTGATAATTTACTCACCCCCATGTCATCCAAGATGTCCATGTCTTTCTTTCTTCAGTCGAAAAGAAATGAAGGTTTTTGATGAAAACATTCCAGGATTTTCTCCATATAAGCCGCTTTCCGACCAAGTAGTTACAGGTAGTTATAGGAACTGTCCACTTCTAAACAGTTCTAAGAACTACTCTCCCCCAAACTCGGTTTTGCTGCTTGCGTTCGCACTGGCCAAGTGGCCATAGGAACTGGTGGGAGGGGTAACGCAAGCACGGCGACAGGCTTTATAGCATCATCACTAGACGTAGCGCGGCTATTGCAATGTTCCTGTTCTGCCTTGCCGGGACATTAATAACGGAGAACGAACGGCGGCGTTTAAAGATTATGCTTGAGTTCTGTACAGAAAAACACAGAAGACGAAGGCTCCAGCGTAATATGATATTAAGTAATATTGGAAGAAGATAAAAGAGCAGAGCGCAGGAGGCAAACAATACGACGGGTAAGTTTAGCTAGCATTAGCAATTAGCTGGTTGAATGCGTTATGTTTGTCTTAATCCTTAGTAGTAATGTTTTGCAAAAACACACCGCGTATGGCAGACAGCGCGCTACAAGTTCCGTGTTGACAGTGGGCATGACTTATAAGTTCAACCAATCAACATAGACCTAGGGAAAGGGAACTAATAAAAAGTCCTCGCTCTAGACTAGGTACTGAAAGAGTTATAGGAACTACGGTCTGAGGAACTAAAAAAAATCCCCAATTTAGTCCGGTCGGAACACGAGAAAAAAAGGGTTATAGGAACGTTAGGTTCTAGGAACTGCAAAAGTCCCTCCGGTCGGAAAGTGGCTATGATGGACTTCAATGGGAACCAAACGGTTCAAGGTCCAAATTAGTGTTTCATTGCAGCTTCAAAGGGCTTTAAACGACACCAGACGATGAATAAGGGTCTTATCTAGCGAAACGATCTACCATTTCAAAAATAAATAAAAACGTTTAAAGGACAACTCCGGCGCAAAATGAACTTTTGGTCTAATTTCACATTGTTACCTAGTCAACCGTTATCTGAGATTTGTTTTCATGATTGCTGAATGTAAATAGTTGTATCTCTAAAAACAGTTCAACAGTTGAAGAGAAGAAAACGGTTTGTGTTTTGTTTCTTCCGGAAACAATGGACCACATGAGATTCTGCACAGTTCAGCGCACTTGGATCGGCGTTCGTAGATCGACTGGTATAGAGACTATTTTTCAAAGATGGCTTCTTCCTGTATTCGCGAAGTTGACTGTGTGTATAAACTATCTTCTTATTAAACTGTTTGGACACTGACAAAGTTCTCAATGCTTCGGTTTGTATGTAGGGACCCTTATTAGTGTTAGTGTGAGGCTATTCTTGTGGTATTTTTTTATGCTATCGTGTTAGTGTGGGGCTATTTTTTGCCTTGTTAGTGGTAATAACAAGCGATTTTTCTATCGATTATTCTATCATTACGATTTATTTGTCATTACTCTATGCCCTATATACTAGCATTATATAGCGTTATAGGCTAAACTGTTTTTAGAGATAAAACTATTTACATTCAGCAATCATGAAAACAAATCTCAGATAACGGTTGAATAGGTAACAATGTGTAATTAGACCAAAGGTTCAATTTGCGCCGGAGTTGTCCTTTAAGTTTTAAAACCACAAATGCTCACCTTGCTCTGTTCTGTGATGAACGTTCGTGACTCTCCTGTTCAAACTCGTTCATCAAAATGAACAAATCTTTTTTCGAGTCATGACTTAAAGGGTCCTAGATAAGACCCTTATTCATCGTCTGGTGTCGTTTAAAGCCCTTTGAAGCTGCACTGAAACTCTCTTTTGGACCTTGAACCGTTTGGTTCCCATTGAAGTCCATTATATGGAGAAAATCCTGTAATGTTTTCATCAAAAATCTTAATTTCTTTTTGACGGAAGAAAGAAATATGTGGACATCTTGGATGTCATGGGGGTGAGTAAATTATCAGCATTTTTTTTTAAAGTGAACGACTCGGTTGCCTAACGTAACCTCGGTTCTCTCTAGATGAGGGAACGAGTATTGCGTAAGCTAGCTTACGCTACGGGAAAGACTAATCTTTTCTGAGAAGTTGAAGCCAAAAAATTATCCTTTAATTTTGTATCCATTGTCAACGCAGTTCACTGCAGCAGACCATGAGCGGGCCAGCTAGCAGCTCATAGGTTTGCTCAGGGAGAACTGCTACAGCCTATGAGGGAACTCGGTTGAACTCGTGGCCAATGAGAAGCAGACACGCTCTCATTACGTCAAAGCCCGCCAAACAGCGTGGCCCGAGTCTATAAATAGGCGAGTTTCCCGCTGTTTTCCGGTTTTCATTGAATGAAGCGAGAACACTAGTAGCGCAAGCACAGCTGGGAACGCAATACTCGTTCCCTCATCTAGAGAGAAGCGAGGTTACGTTAGGTATCCGATTCGTTCTCTTACGAGAGGTTCTCTTGTATTGCGTAAGCTAGCTTACACTACGGGAACACCTGGTCAACGCCGTGCGCGCTAGGCATCTACAATGAGTCCCGGGGGAACGATCCCGGGGGACGCTTGTAAGTGGCAAAATAATGTACGTGAAATAAAAGGGCCAGCAAGCGGGCCGGTGATTGTGTAGTACATGAGCACATGAGGGAAGAACAAGCGGCACGCCGGTTGTATGAGTATGACTCCCAATAGTGCAGCTCAACATAGGAGCTGAAACATACTAGGCTGCTAGTAGCTTGGCCTGCAGGGCGGGTACTTCCAGATTGTAAAATCTGACAAAGGTGGAAGGGGAAGCCCATCCCGCTGCCACGCATATGTCTTGAATGGAAATGCCGCTGGACCATGCCCACGATGAGGCCATGCCTCTTGTGGAATGAGCCCTGATGTCCAAAGGGCATGGCAGGTCTTTTGATGCATAAGCAGAAGCAATAGCATCCACAATCCATCTGGATAGTGTCTGTTTCGAGGCGGCCAGACCCTTGGTGTGCCTACCGAACGAAACAAAAAACTGCTCAGAGCGTCTGAACGCGGCAGCGCGTGTAGTGTACAATCTCAGAGCCCGAACCGGAAAAAGGAGATTGGCGTCACATTCGTTATCGGTTGCGGGTAGAGCGGGGTACCAATCGGGGTACCAATCGCTTTGGGGACATAGCCATGTCTAGGTTTGAGGATGACTATGGAGTCATTAGGTCCAAACTCGAGACAAGCTGTGCTAGAAGAGAGTGCGTGAAGGTCTCCCACTCGTTTTACTGATGACGGGGCAATCAGAAAAACGTTTTTTAACGAGAGGTATTTTAGGGGTTCAGCGAACGCCGCGACAGCTGCCAAGTAAACCTTTAGAGTGGATGGGGACCTGCCCTTATCCAGCATCTCCTGAAGGAAGACAAGCAAAGACGACACGTCGCACCGCTGAGGGTCTAGGTTTTTGTCGGTGCACCATTTAGAGAACACAGACCATTTTGACACACACAGCTTCCTAGTAGAAGCCGCTCTGGCGTTCATGATCGTGTTTAACACTCCCTCTGCCAAAGCAACGGATAGTTGTTGATCATCCATGCATGAAGCGCCCAGCGCTGAGGGTGGGGATGCCAGATCGTGCCGCGAGCTTGAGAGAGGAGATCTGCTCTGACTGGAATGGGCCACGGGGCTGTCTGCGACAGCTGAGTGAGCTCCGGGAACCAAGTCTGACTCTCCCAACACAGGGCTATGAGGAGCACCAAGTGGCGTGTTTCCCTGATTATCTGTAAAACCTGTGGTAACAGGGAGACCGGAGGGAATGCCTAAAGCGGGCGGCTGGGCCACTCCTGGGCAAGCGTCCTCGCTCTTTGAGAAAAATATTGGGCAGTGAGCGTTCTCCTCTGACGCGAAGAGATCCACCTCTGCTCTGCCGAATATTTGCCACAGTTTCTGGACTGTTTGAACGTGCAGGGACCATTCTCCCGAAAGGATGAGGTTCCTGGTCAGTTGTTCAGATGGCCCGACACACGCATCACTCTTAGCGAGAGCAGGTGGCTCTAGGACCAAACTAAAATGCATTTCGTCAGCAAGAAGAGGTTCCTGGATCTGACACCGCCCTGACGGTTGAGATAGGAGACTATGGCCGCATTGTCCGAGCGGATCAATACGTGGTGACCCCGAATGCGCGGGAGGAAAAACGCGAGCGCGTTCTCAACTGCAATCATCTCCAGACAGTTTATGTGTAGGGAGCTCTCTTGAACTGACCAGTGGCCAGAGGCGGGTGAGCCCTCGCAGACCGCACCCCAACCTGAGTTGGATGCGTCTGTCGAAATTACTTTTCGGCGAGAGACGGTCCCCATGGTAACGCCCCACTGAAACCATTCTGCCACTGTCCATGGCTGCAGAGCTGAGATACAGGTCTGCGTAACTTTGATCAGCTGGCGGCCCGTGGTCCACGCACGGTGAGACACACGGCTCTTTAACCAAAGCTGAAGGGGGCGCATGCGCAGTAGACCCAGCTGAAGCACTGCGGAGGCTGAGGCCATGTAACCCAGCGCCTTCTGAAAAGTTTTCAGAGGCGTGAGGGTGTCCATCTGACAGGATGCGGGGAGACGCTGAACACGGCGCGCGCGCTGTGTAGATAAGCGAGCCGTCATAGCCACTGAGTCTAGATCTATTCCCAGGAAGGAAATAGTCTGACTGGGCTGAAGCGAGCGAGCGGCTCGTCCCTCATACAGCGTGGGACTCTGGCGCTGAGAGGGGAGGTGTGCGAGGCATCTTTAAAAACACGCTCGCTGCTCTTTTGTGAAGTTACACAAGCAAAATACAAATGTAAGGATACGTCGCCGGATGACGTTAGCTCACAGGATGGCTGAAGGTGGCGAAGACGGCCGGCTTCCTCAGACTCTGTACAAGCTCGCTAAGAGATGCCTTCTCCTCGGCGACGCGGCTTCCTCTCGGAGATCAGCAGGTGCATAGCCTCGCTGAATTGATGAAAATCGGAAAACAGCGGGAAACTCGCCTATTTATAGACTCGGGCCACGCCGTTTGGCGGGCTTTGACGTAATGAGAGCGTGTCTGCTTCTCATTGGCCACGAGTTCAACCGAGTTCCCTCATAGGCTGTAGCAGTTCTCCCTGAGCGAACCTATGAGCTGCTAGCTAGCCCGCTCATGGTCTGCTGCAGTGAACTGCGTTGACAATGGATACAAAATTAAAGGATAATTTTTTGGCTTCAACTTCTCAGAAAAGATTAATCTCTCCCGTAGCGTAAGCTAGCAACCTCTCGTAAGAGAACTACTCCTTTAAGACTATAAGAAGAGACTTTTGAAAAACACTGGGGAAAATGGACTACACATACAGTATATCGAAACAGAGAGAAGGGAGATACATGTATTCATATAAACACATACTATGGTAGTCAATGGGGAATGAGATCTGTTTGATTAAAACATTCTTCCAAATATCTTCCTTTGTGTTCAACAGAACAAATAAACACATAGAGGTTTGGAACAACATGAGGGTGAGTAAATACTGACAGAATTTTCATTTTTGGGTGAACTAACCCTTTAAGAGCAGAGGGTTCAAATCTTTAATAAAATATTATTATTTTTATTATTATCATTTTTTTTACTTTTAACCCCAGTTGATATGCATCCTAGTAGATAATAATAATAAAAAAAAACTTTTATCCACATTATATGTATGCTGCTGCAACTCTAAAGCCTGGAAAACACCAAGCCGACGCCGACGAACTAGCGCTGATGAAAGCTGACCGTGTTGTCGCCTCTCGTCGGGGTAAAAATCTGCACTTGAACACACCAAGAGAACTACAGGCGACTGTCAGCTATAATATGCATTCTGCGCCTGTGTGTTATGAGCCAATTGTCTGTCTATTTCTGCAGATATATTAGTCTATATTCGTCATTCAAAAAGGAAAACCGATGCTGCCGGCTGCAGATAAACATAACGTAAACAAAGCAGCGCGTGCCGCGTGCTTACCGTTTTGAATATCAGTCCTGCTAAACACTTTCTTTATTCCACCCCGCTCATGTTAATATTGAAATATTCGCCAAGGAACATTCAGGTTTGATGACGTAACATAAGAACAGCCTTATATCTTTAACGTTTTGACTTCTTTGCTTGCTGTTTTGCTTTTATTCTTGTGCACTGACTGTTTCACTAAGCTAAACAGCCAATAGCCGCGTTTCCACTGCCGGGCCAGGGCCGGGCCGTGCTAGTGCGTGCCAGGGCCAGTCGCGTTTCCACTGTCACTTCCGGGGCTTGATCGGGGCTTCCTCAGGGCCAACGGCCAGGATTTCTGGCCCGTCGAATACCTTGGGCCAGAGGGGGCCAGCTCGGGCTAGAGGCGTGCTCAAGGTAAAAGGCGGAGTTTATCGGTGTTATGGAAATTATGATCTGAAGCAAGATGCACATAGGGCTGTCCATGTTTAACCGATTAACCGTTTAAAATTGCATAACATTTTAATTTGAACTGTAGGCCTATGCCAAATGCTGCGCAAAAATATATAGGCTATATAGTATAGGCTACATATCGACGAATTTTCAGATATTTGTTTGATTTTTTTTTTGCCCCAAACATTTAAAATATTTGACAAATTAATATGAAAAATATATATATTTTTCTGGTTTTCTGAGGCCAAATTAGAACCTGGAAATGATATTTTCCCCGCAGTGCTGAATGAGAAGAGCCGTACAGCCTACAGAAAGGTGATTTATAGGCTATAATAAATGTGTCTGATAATAAAATAATATACAATAACGAGGCATTAATTGTTTATTAATAAACTATTGTTTTCTAAATCATTTTCGGCTAAAAATCTCCATCTCCGGATGCACATTTAGAGAGAAATTAATTAGCTACATAATTACATAGTCAGAAGATATTGGCTTTCGATTCGAATTTGTTCGTTTTAAATTGGACATTTAAAGCTTTAATCTACAAAGGATATAACCCCTGTAGACTAAAGCTTTAAATGTATGACCAGAAATGAAAGAGTATTTTAAGTTGTTTCCACTGAAAGAAATGCAATGAAACTGCAAGTATTCACATGGGCGTCTCGCAGCCATCAGTGCGTGCTCCACACACACTGGATATGCGTCAAAAATATTGTGTTTATTTGTGCTCTATCTTTTTTGGATAAAGGCGTCTTCTACATATGCAGCCTAATAAAATGTTACAATAATGATGATGGTTATTATATTATTATTATTATTTGCAGACAAGGAGTTTTTGACGTGAAATGGACGTTTTGCTTATTTTCAATTGGCAATTTCAGTTTGAAGGGTGATGGAAATGCGGCTTTAACTGCTCCGTACTTGCTGCGTTTTATTTCTATAAATTAATTTCGTTTCAAATGGGGTCCAATCAGTTATTAAAGGTGTTAAAAATTAACTCTGTATCTCGAGGTTGCGGCGCGCACACTAACCGAGTATTAACCGATGGGCCTCGGTTAACGGTTAGCCTAATGATAACTTGTTATATCGTGCAAAAAAAATCGCTGCTTGAAATAGAGAATCGCCTGTACTGGTCTCGGGACACTATTGCAGCCACCACGGCAGGTGAGTTAATATACATGCTATCTTCCTAATTTAAAAAATAAATTAATTCATAATACCCGCTGAAAGGGGTTGGGTTTTATGACGTTTGATCCAGAAAGGCGTGTTAGGGGTGGGGTTTGGGGCAGCGCTGTGGGGCTACTGGCCCGGCAGTGGAAACGCAAGCCCGGTGCTTGAGGCCGGAGGCCACTAGCTCGGCTCGGCTCGCTGTTAGCTCTGGCCCAGCCCTAGCCCGGCAGTGGAAACGCGGCTAATCAGAGTTCTCTCTTTCCGCGACGGCCCGAAGCCGATTCAACATGTCGAATCGGGTGAAACAAAGCCGACAAAGACTATTTTCAGCCGACGGCACGGAACCGTGCGGAATCTTAGTCGGTCGACGCACAAAAACTGCCCGACGGCCGACCGTCGGCTTGGTGTGTTCTGGGCTTAAGAGTTAAATCCACACACTCACCACTAGAATCAATACTCTGAGCTCCGGCCAGTACGATTCAGATTCCACTTGTTCAGCGATACTGTCTTCCCCATCTGACCGTTCCCCCATCTTCCACTGGACAAAGCCACCGTACAAACTCCTGCATGCACTGCCAGAGCCCAATCGTGCCACTGTAGACAGCTCACCCTCCACATTGAACAACTTTGAAAGTGTGTACACTAAAACAACGCAAGTTTTCACATCAACATCAGGAGCACAGAATCTAATTTTATGCAATTTATTTTTTTACTTACCCAGACAGGCGTAGCCTGCTGCAGAGGATGCCAAGCCAGCAGCAGTGGGGAAATTATTCACAGAGCAGATATGGACCTTATGGGACATTACGCTGATATCAGAAGTTGGACCACCAGTATTCCGTCTCTTGCGAGCTAACCTTCGAACTGGTGAATTAAAATGAGTTTAATATCACGATGACAGCTCCTGTCATACAGTGCTTAGTAATGTTAATGTTCTGAAAGTCAGGGACGTACTTTCCTGCAGACATAACTGCAACCTAGGGCAGCTGATATCCTCCTCCTTGCCATTCAGCCAGATGCGGTCTTGCTGGAAACTTCTGTTGCATGCAATTGTTGTAGTAGTTTTGAGCTAAGAAAGAATTATAGTACATAATTGGCAACCTTGCTGTTACAGCTAAAAATCTGAAGCTCTTAAAATGCATTGTGGTAAAGCGACCAATACTGACAGAGCTAATAATATGGGGACTACCAGTCACCTGTTCCTGATGCAGTGTCACACTGAGGGATGAATTGATTGGCAGAATGAGATCTTCATTGCGTTTCCCCCCTGATTCAATGGCAATAAGTAATAACTCTGTAAAAAAACTCTGAGTAGAACATGTCCAATATTACAAAAGATATTAACAATATTTACAGAAGATGTACAGTTTCCCCAAAAAGTATTTGGTCACTTAATTCACACTTACAAATGTGCGACTGTCACTGCATAGTATTATGTATCAATTTTTCTCTTCATTTTTTTTTCTTAATTTTTACTCAATGCCTTCTAATCAGCTGGAACTTTGGAGATTTATGGTTTCCTCACCACTGTCGCCTTTGGTTTGCTTAGTTGGGGACACTGACAAGTGTCACAGACAAGGCTTAAAGGGATACTCCACTTTTTTTGGAAATAGGCTCATTTTACAACTCCCCCACAGTTAAACAGTTGAGTTTCACCGTTTTCAAATGCATTCAGCCGATTTTCTGATATTTAGAAGAATATCAGTAACCAAACAGTATGGAAGTCAATGAGACCAGAAACTGTCTGATTACTGATATTCTTCTAAATATCAGAAAATCATCTGAATGAATTCAAAAACGGTAAAACTCAACTGTTTAACTCTGGGGAGTTGTAAAATGAGCCCATTTCCCAAAAAAAGTGGAGTATCCCTTTAACTAGTCCCAGACTAAAATGCATGTTTGATGTGTTTTAAATTAAAGCAACTTGCACTGCCATTTCTTAAAATATGTCAGTGCCAATGTCTCTCAATGTTTTGTCTCAAAATGCACACCAGTAATGCATATTTCTAAAAAACATTTATTAAAGATACTTAAATTACCTGGTTTTAATATCCAGCAATATTACTTTGACTTGACTGCATTGACACTATCGGATGAGATCTAAACTTAAACTGAATTGAGCTGAATAACGATTCTATTATCTTGCTTTAGCTTTAAAGCAAAAACTGAAACTTGTCTTATATTTGATGTTTGCATAATTAATTCTGTTATCTTCTGTTATTGTAAAACTGCTGCTTTGAATTATTATTGTGAGTTCTTTGCAGCCACTGTGTATAACAAATATGAAAAAAGAACATTGTAAGTATAGAAAAAAACTTTAGAACATCTTATAATAATCACAAATGAATCAATTAACGTTAAGTTTTGAAAGACATGCACACTTACAGTATTTGACGACCGCAATGTTCACTGGTGCCGTGCAGGTGACAATAGCAAGATTTTGATCACTGTTTTCCAGCATATTTATAAATTGATAAAAATAGACAAACAGATGATTTAACAAAAGTGAATTTTTTACACATACAACGTGCACTGGATACCGGATAATGTTACTGCTTGGCAGTTTAAAATAGAAAGCAAATGAAACACAACAGTGGATTTGGATTGGGTCACACTGAACACGAGAATTCGTATTTGACCAATTAGAGAGATCACCGTACAACCCCATTTCAAGTGAACCAATGATTGGGATCGGACCATGATTTCACGCAGAGATAGTCACCGGATTTGTCGAATAGAAAGCCAGATCATCCGCGCATGCTCAGTGTCACCGGTGCTCAAAAACGGATCAGAGCTGTCTAACGGAGAGCCTTGGCACTTCCTATTAGCCCCACTGTGTATCATCCTGGTTGCAGTTCCATTAGAATTCCACTGGAGGTGATCGCGGGCGAGAGCAGAATGAATGGGAGTCTATGGGGCTAAACGGCTAAAAGTGTCTCTTTCACCTGCTTGTCGTTAAATTAACATAGATTTTATTGTTGATTCCCAAATTCAATATAGATTATAGGCCAAAAGTCGACTGAACGAGTACTTATGTCCTTTTGATCTCCTACAGGTTAGGCTGTTGTTGGTTGGAACACGCTAGCATTCTGCTATTGTGTGACGTCATCACATTTTTTAACGGATTTTTAGAACAGATAAGTGAACTTAAAAATGCAATTTTCAGCTGAGTGTATTATCTTAGCCCTCCCTTTTGAATGCAACTTTCAAATTACTTGACAAAAAATTACATCCTGAGAAAAGTGGATTTATGGGGGTGAAACCCCATTGACTCCAATTCATTCTGCACTCGACCGCGAGCGCCCCCGCATGGACAGAGACGTGTTACTGCAGCCAGTCTAGAACCCGGAAGTACCCAGCCACTGCCAATAGGCTTTATGCACAACTTACTTCCGCATTCTCTGTAAAACAGGTCGCATCGCTTCCGGTCCAGGTCTTTTGTATGTGCTTCATGAAATTTTTTGCGGTTTTACTCAAGATAACTTAAAAGGAGCAAGCAAAGATTAGCATAAACAATATCCCTCACATGTGCAGATTAATATTTAAACGTTTTATATTTTTTTATTCTTCACAGTAACGTTTAGATATTTAAATGGAATAAAACGCCAATAACAAAGTGAACTAGTTAGGTTAGCTGATTACCTTAAATTTCCATAGATATCGTTGTCAGTTCTTACGGCCGTTAACACTTTCTCTGACAAGCGGATGCGATGAGACCCGTTTTCCGGTTTGGCCACGTGACGCACGGCATAAAGGCTATTCTCTTCATTTAGCGATTTGCTAAGTCCTCCCCCTCATGGTCTGCATTTAAATACGAACTTTTGCTGTTTCAAAACTGTCTCATTAAGGTTGAGAATGCCCAGGCTAAGAAATTGTATAACCGTTTAGTGACACTTCAAATGAGTTGAGTCCCTCTATTTTCTTTTTTTTCTTTTTATTTATTTATTTATTTATTTAGTGTTTTGAGCTCCTTAAGTCTGTTCTCCCTTGTCATGTGATCAGTGCAGAGGATGTCTTTTTGGATGATGTGCGGGAGGTGTGAATCTTGGTTTGTAATACATTAGTATTTGTATTGTACATTTTGAGATTGTCATACGCTCTTTCTTTGTTGGATTTCTTTATTGTTTGTTGTAATAAGTAAAAGTTAAAAAAAAAAAAATTCTCTTCATTTAGACATTAGCCGTTTCTCAATATGCGTACTTGTCTGTACTTGTGTTCTTGTGGACTTGTGAAACGTCATCAGTCGCTGCCGAAGTACTGTTCCAATTCAAAGTTCGCATCTAGCCAAGTCCACTTCAAATCCCCGGATGTGTTCTTGATCCGCCCCGTTTACCGAGGATGCATCGAGAGGTGACTTGTGTGGACTTGAGATAGCCAGGTAACCCAGAATGCACCTCGCACCAACCAGCAAGCGTCAATAGGAGAGGAGAAAATCCGCGAAATATCAAAATACTACTGTTATTGAGTCATGAAATGTAATTTTAAGAGTGTTTCAGGCGAGAATGTGGTTGTTTAAATTTCAAATCTGTAGTTTATTTATAAAGATAGCGCCTATCTGTAAAATGCATCTGACGTTTTCGGAGTTCTGACATCCAAGCCTTCAGCGGACACTCAGCGAGATCAACCCCGACTGGAACAGCTTAAGGCCAATAGGCTTTATGCACAACTTACTTCCGCATTCTCTGTAAAACAGGTCGCATCGCTTCCGGTCCAAGTCTTTTGTATGTGCGTCATGAAATTTTTTGCGGTTTTACTTAAGATAACTTAAAAGGAGCGAGCAAAGATTAGCATAAACAATATCCCTCACATGTGCAGATTGATATTTAAACGTTTTATATTCTTTATTCTTCACAGCAACGTTAAGATATTTAAATGGAATAAAACGCCAATAACTCGTGAACTCGTTAGGTTAGCTGATTACCTTAAATATCCATAGATATCGTAGTCAGTTCTTACGGCCGTTAACACTTTCTCTGACAAGCGGATGCAATGAGACCCGTTTTCCGGTTTGGTCACGTGACGCACGGCATAAAGCCTATTTATACTTCTGCGTAGGGTGCGCGCAGTAGGGACGGCGTAGCATACGCACAGATGCGTCCCATACCGCGTACCCTTCGCCGTCGCCTGACGCGCACCTCTTCAAAAATGTAACTACACGTCGCGACGACGCGGACCGCAAGATCGGTGATTGGTCGGCTTGGTAGCATCGCATTTCCTCCTACGCATTTCCGCACGTACCTTCTCACGCATTTCCACCACTGTCTATGATTTCCACACGTACCATCTCCTCCGACGTCTTCTGTCATTTCTGCCTTTCAGTTTTAGTAATTTCACTAAAGTGAACTGTTTTTCCACCTCAATAAGCTCCAACTCCAACAAGATCAGCTCTCTTTCAGTCGATATTGCTTGTAGTAACCTAGCCGTGAGGAATCTTCTTCTTCTTCTTCTTCTTCTTCTTCTTTGGGGTTTTACGGCAGCCGGCATCCAATAAGTTGCATTGCTGCCATCTCTGGTACTAGCACCTAATGCCTAGTTCACACTACATGATTTTAAAATGTCGGGCTGAACTGTGCAGTTCACACTACATGACTTGCTCTCAGTTAAATCATGAGTGTTCAAGTTGTTTAGCTGTTCACACCACACAACACAACGTGATTGATCCACAACAGGAGGTAACTCACTACACGAGTTAACAACGCACTACATAGAGATACAACCACGATCGGATGATAAGAGCATATCATTTGTGACTCAATGAGAGCTGTTTCAGTACTATAATACGGTCTAAATCCTGAAAATAATCAAACAAATAACGAGTTGACAACAACACGATTCTATCTGGTCTAGAAACCATGTTTTGTAACGAAAAACCACGCAATAAAACGAACCAGAAATGACGCGAAACTGCAGAGAAGAACACAACACGCGAATATGGACGTCAGACAGAAACTAGTGCTGCACACTGTTTGCTCGACCCAGATAGCAAACTGACATTGAATCAACGTGGAAATATGACATCGAAACAACGTTGATCTGACATTTTTTTGCTCATCGAATTAACGTTGAACCAACGTCAGACGCGTCATTCTTTCAAAACTAACGGAAAATCAACATAAAATCAACGCGTTGTTTCAACGTTATGAAAATAAACCAATTTTCGATTTTATTTAGCTTTGAAGAATGAAGTCTGACGTTGGTTCAACGTTAATTCGATGAGCAAATCAACGTTGTTTCAATGTCATGAGAGACGTTGTTTCCACGTTGATTCAATGTCAGTTTGCTGTCTGGGGACGATATGCTCTGAGAAAAAAAAATGCAAAAAAGAAAAAGTAAGATTTACCTGGTGTCCTCAACCCATGCGTTGCTATGATTGGCTGTACTCATGACATCACTGAGATTGAGTCGCGCGACTGCGCGAGATATCTAGCATGCTAGATATTTTTCTGAGCTCGGTGACCTGTCTGCGAGCTGTCTGCGAGCTGTCTTTGATGCGTTGTTGGCTCTTTCACACTAACTGATTGGCGAGCGTTAATCGTCCGCTAATCGCCCGCGATTTGCACGCGATAACACCCTGACTTGTCGGCGACTCAACGATTTGCAAATCGGGCTTAAATCGGGCTTAAAATCACGTAGTGTGAACTAGGCTTAAGTGCACTATATCCGCTTATACAATCCAGTGTCTTTTAAAAAATTAAAAAGATACTGCTTTCCAGTGTTGGGAGTAACGCATTACAAAAATAATACATTACTGTAACATATTAGTTTTTGCTGTAACGCAGTAGTGTAAGGCATTACTAATCAATTTTCAGTAATATTTTACTCGTTACATGTTCAGTGAAGCTTGTATTACAGTTGTATTACAGTGTATTGTCTGCTTTTACTTCTTAAAGGCAACAGACTGTGTGAAAGTTTTAAAGCAGTCTTTTAGTGCCAGTTCAGAGCGGTCGCGTCTGTAACATTGTTTTTTCCTCATAAATGCGAACACGAAAACTAAAATAAAATGAATATTTTAAGTTCTATGGAGACTGGAGAGCCAACCCTTCCTCATCCGATTTGCGCAGTGTAGCTAATTAACAGAATTACAAAAAATATATTTTGCCTCCTATTTTTTTCACGCATGAATGTGTGTCTTTTCCCTAATATTAAAAATAAAACATAGACTGATATTTGTCTAATGTCTGGAGTCCTTTAAGGAAGTAGCCTATACGTTTCAATACATGTATTTTCTGAGAATTTTTATTTCAAGTTTTGACTGCAAATGTCATGTCCATAATGCTGGACTTCCCCAATTTTCAATAATTTATCCTCAACTAGTTTTGTGGTTAACTTCAAATGTTAACTTCAAATAATACTAATAGCCTAATTTAAAGATAAGGCAGCATTGGATATGGACGGTAAGGAGAATAACGCTGGAGTTGGAAGAGGTGTGTCGCGATTCTGTAGGTTCGTGGATCTGAGTCGTGTGGCGAATGGCGATTTCGGTTTCATATTGCATATCGTTACAGCCCAAAAGTTAAGTTCTACTTAGTTATTTTGGTGAAAGTAACTCAAAAGTAATACATGAGTAATGTAACGCATTACAATTCTGAGACAGTAATATTGTAAGGTAATGAATTACTTTTAAATAACAGTAACAAGTAATACCTAATGTATTACAGTTTGGAAGTAACTTGCACAACACTGCTGCTTTCCCCTTGAGCTTGCAAAATATTTGTAAAATATTTTTAAGAGATACTTCTTCCAAGCCGATTACTCGCATTTCTCTGAGTAGATCTTGTATTTGGCGGTCATATTTTCTACAAGAAATCAAAACATGTTCCACTGTTTCAGGTTCTTGACATGAACACAAACCACTCTGGTACTTTCCTACAATAAATAAAGTGCTGTTCAGTAACGTGTGACCAATCCTCATTCTAGAAAAAATAACCTCTTCCTTACGTCTCATCTCTCCCCTACAAACATTAACTGAGTTGGTTACCCTACTAGAAATAGAGAACAGGTGCCTCCCTTTATTTTCTTGCTCCCAGAGCTGTTGCCATTTCAGAATTATTCCCTGCCACACAATACTTTTACCTTCTGCTTTAGACAGATTTAAGTTTACATCTATTGTTTCCTTTTGAGCAGCTTCCTTGGCCAATTTATCAACCTTTTCATTTGTTGCAATACCTACATGAGCTGAGACCCATATAAATGATATTTCTACTCCTTTTCTTTTCACATCTCTAATTGACAGAAGAATATCATATACAAGATCTTGTCGACTCTTTGAAGTCCCTTTCCCCATACTATTGATAGCTGACACAGAGTCACTACATATCAATACTTTGCAGTTCTGCATCTGCTCAGTCCATTGCACTGCGATCAGGATTGCATATAATTCCACTGAAAACACAAGTAGGAAATTTGCGGTTCTCTTACAAACGTCGGTATTCCACTTCTGAACAACAAAAGCTGCTCCTGTAGCACCTGTTTCCTGATCTTTTGACCCATCAGTAAAAATTAATATGTGTTCCTGATACCTCTCTATTATATGACAGTGAAATGCATACACCATATCTGATTCAGGATTTCCTAACTTAATCCCAAGTATATCTAAGTCAATCTTTGGGACCTCCAATTGCCACACAGGAACTGATGGCCACAGTAGGCCTACTCCTGGACAAAAGTTCTTATCATGTATTGCCATTTCCTGGGCCAATGCCTTCCCTGTCCAGCCAAAACTTTGAAAACTTGCCATCTCTCTCTCCCAGCTTACCTGAATTGTTGCTTTAACTGGGTGATCACACCTTTGACCCATCAAGTTAACCCAATAGTTAGCCTGAAGTTGCTGCCTTCTCAAAAAGAGTGGCATTTCTCCTGTTTCTACCTGCAAAGAACACACTGGGGAAGATCGCACAGCTCCTGTACATATTCTCAGTGCCTTAGCTTGAACTATATCTAATCCAGCTAAAACTGACTTGGCTGCAGATCCATAAACTAAACACCCATATTTAATTCTTGCTCTAATTAAATATACATAGATTTGTTTCAAAGAGGCAACATCTGCCCCCCATTCTGTTCCAGCAAGACATCTCATTAAATTCATTACCCTTTTACACTTGTCTATTATTTTTGAAACATGCTCTCTCCATGTAAGTCTTGTGTCAAAAAACACCCCAAGAAATTAAAAACTGTTCACTCTTTCCAAATTTCTACCATATAACTTTAATTTAACACTTTCATCTATTTTCCTCCTAGTAAAAAACATAGTCTTAGTCTTCTCAATAGAGAATCTAAACCCCCATTTCCTTCCCCAATCCTCCACTAGGGTTAGAGCTTCCTGCACCTTCTTTAGTGCATACTTTAAATTTTCCCCCCTTTTCCATAGGCTACCATCGTCTGCAAATAATGACTTTCCAATTCCCGGCTGAACATTAGAAAAAACATCATTAATCATTATATTGAACAGCAATGGACTAATAACACTACCTTGTGGTGTACCATTCTCACAAAGCAGCTTCTAGATTTTTCCGACCCTATTTTCACCTGAATACTTCTATTATTTAAAAAATCCATTACCCAGTTAAACATATTTCCCCCAATTCCCAACATATGCATCTTGATTAAAAGACTCTACCCATAGCATGTCATATGCCTTTTCCACATCTAAGAATACTGCCACAACAGTCTCTTTCTTTATCTGTGCTTTCCTTATTTCATCCTCAAGGCATATGAGTGCATCAACAGTACTTCTCCTCTTTCTAAAACCATTCTGATAACTAGCCATCAATCCCCTTTTTTCAATAAAGTGCATTAGCCTTCCATTCACCACCCTTTCCATTAACTTACCTAAGTGAGAGGTTAAAGCTATTGGCCTATAATTTACTGGATTACTTGCGTCTTTTCCTGGTTTTCTTATTAGAACAATAACTGCCTCCTTCCACCCTACAGGAATTTTTCCTTCCTCCCAGACTCTATTAAATACATTTAAAACCTTATTCATTCCATTATCACTTAAATGTCTTAGCATACTATAACAAATTTCATCTTTACCAGGAGCTGAATTCTTACACTCATCCAATGCATTTCTTAATTCTCTCAGTGTGAGAGGAACATTATATTTATCCTCTAATTTTCCTTTCTTTTGAATAACCTCAACATACTGATTCTTTGTTTCTTCCCTAGCCCTCCTTTCTTCTTGTGAAAGATTACTGGAGCTATGTACCTTACTCAGTGTGTTCACCATCATTTCTGCTTTCTCTAGACTTGATATAGCCAACTGCTCTCCATCTGAAAGGATTGGATAATTCCACTCTCTTCTGTTACCTTCCATTTTTTTAATCATTCCCCATACATCATTTATATTAATAGTACTTCCAATTGAGCTACAATAATCCCTCCAGTATGTTCTTTTCCCTTCCCTTATACTCCTTCTCACTACTGCCTGTGCTTTCTTGTATTCAATCAAATGTTGAAAGTTATGAGTTCTTTTTAATTTTCTAAAAGCTCGGTTTCACATTCAACACTCCACCACGGAACCGCTTTTTTAACTAGTTTTCCTGAACTTTTTGGTATTGTATCCATTGCAGCCATATAAATACTCTGTCGCAACTCAACTTCATTTCTTTCAACATCATTCGTTTCTTGGACTGAACTAATATACAAATCACTTATTTTCATAAATCTCTTCCAATCTGCCTTTTTGAAAATCCACCTTCCATGACTATCTTCTATGCTCAACCTTACATCCACACTCAGTTTACATATAATTGGGTAGTGGTCACTTCCAATAGTGCTTTCTCCATGTACTTCCCATGTGATGATGTGAGACAGAAAGAGGACCCAAACGCGTCTGCAGCAATGAATCAGTTTAATGAACGGAAAGAAGTCCACTGGTAAGGACTGTTCACAAATAATATAATGTTCAACAAAGGATGACCCGCCGGGTAACAGGCGTGACTCTCTTCTCAGGCTGACCAGCGGAGGCGGCAGGTGAAAGCAGACACCGGAGGACCACTACTGCCCTGGCGAGCAAGGGAGGAAGATCCCTCTGAGTAGCACAGTGCTGGACAGGAAAGGACTGGACAGGACTTCGCACGAGAGGTGACAAACACGTCTTGGCACAGAATAATCTGGCAAATAGGTAGAGAAAAGCAGGGGTAAAAGAAGCCGACAGAATTAGAGAAAAGGGAGAGCAGGTGTGAAAGAATGATTGGATAACGAGCATAAGGCAGCCGCAGCTGTAGATAATGAAACAGCGGAGAAGCGAGAACAGAAGCGAGAACACATGATAACCAACAGGGGGAGACAAAGAACCGAGAAAGGGACCAGATTCATGACAGTACCCCCTCCTAGGGTTGGGAACCGAAAACCGGTTCTTATGCAGAACCGATTCCGTTTTTTGAAAAATACCGGAACCGTGCGAAATTCCCACGTTTCGGTTCCGAAAACGGTTCTTGTGCGATGTGTGTGCGAAGCGCTGGGAGCGTATCCTTTAATAGCGTCTCACCTCATGAATATCAATTACGTTGCCCGCCGCTTCCAGCAGCGCAACCAATTAACGCTCACAGACGATCTCTCTCTATCAACAATGCTCACTCACACTCAACGCTACTGATTTATGCCTTGCGTGAGGTATTTTCTTGATGACCAGCATGTCGAAGAGAAAGTCAAAAGTGTGGATTCATTTTGAAAGGTTAAATGATGATGAAGCAAAATGTTACACATGTGACAAGCTAATAACATGCAAAGGAGGCTGTACTAGCAATATGACTAAACATTTGCTCCAGCGCCACGGAATCAACCTCAAAACATGCAATGTCTTCGACTGTTTAAGGAAGACAACTGCACCTTGCATGTCCCCACCGCCAGGTATGAATTCATACATGGATAAATGTTTTATTTCTGTAGTAATAAACTATACCAAATCAATGTTATTTCCGTTTTTTTTTTCAGATGTTAAACATAGCGTGCCAAGCGCGGATACAACGCAATGTGCCACACCCACACCCTCTGCTGGAACGTCAGAGACTGTAACTCCGTTTACTTTAGCAAGTAAAGGGAAAATGACGACAGAGAGAATAGATGAGTGCCACAGGGCTGTTACACGGTTCATAGTGAAAGGTTTACATCCTTTTTCCACCATTGAGTCTCCATGGTTTAGGTAAGTAAGTGTTTAGGCACATGCATGCAGCTGAGCAGCCATATTATAAAGTTAACTGAATTACTATTTATAACTTGTAAATAATATACTATAAATATATAACTCATAAATATAATTTATAACTAGGTTTTATGCAGAAACAGAGAGAGAAAAAGTATAATACAGTTTCAAAGGTGTTCATTTGAACATATTTAATTTTATTATTTAATTTCCTTTTTTTCTTCATTTTAGGGAGATGACCAAGTGTCTTAACCCCAAATACCACCCACCCTCTAGGGACTGTTTAGCCAACCAGCTTATTCCTGCTTGGTATAACACAGAAAAGCAGAACGTAATTGATGCTCTGAAAAACATCCACAGTGCAGCAATTACAAGTGATGGATGGACCAGCATTACACAGGACCACTACATTACAGTCACACTACATTTTGTTAGAGAGGGGAAAATGAAACAAACAGTACTAAAAAGTAAAGCAGTCTACGACGTTCAGACAGGTCCTAATGTTGCCCAAGAAATAGAGACCATTTTGGAAGAGTTTGGAGTTAGGGAGAAAATAGTTGCAGTCACAGTGGACAATGCTGCAAACATGAATGTAGCTGTCAGTCGACTCCAGCTTAAAAAAATGGCATGCTTTGCACATACACTGAACATTGCTGCACAGAAAATCTATTCAATTGACTCTGTTTCTCGATGGTGTGCACGTATCAGAAGTGTCATTGTATGGCTGAAGAGATCTTCAATGGCCAAGACTGTTTTGCAAGAGAAGCAGCATCTCCTTAGTAAGTCATTTAATATTACTAAATATTTTTTTTGTAAAGTTTTATTTTATTATTATTTTATTAATTAAGTTTAATTAATTGTTTTTCAGACCTGCCACAGCATACAGTAATCCTGGACGTCAGAACACGCTGGAATTCACTCTATCTAATGATAGACAGATTTCTTGAACAATATCCTGCCATCCAAGCAGCTTCCATGGACCCAAGGCTGAGAGGCTCAATGGAGAGGGACAGGTAGAAGGAATGAGTGTGATACAGGATAACTGATCATGATGAATTTGATTAATTGTATAATGGACAGTTTTTATAGATGCAAGATAATTTAATGTTTGCAAATTGCAGATTGGAACGCATCACTGATGAAGACCTTAAAAAGGCAGAGGAGTTTACAAAGCTCATGAGTTTAATGTACACTTCCACCCTATGTGTATCGAGTGACAGTACTCCAACCTGTGGCCAGGTCCTTCCTATCCTCCAGAAACTTCAAGAACACTTTCAGGTTCAAGAGAATGACTCACTCTTTGTGGCTGCAATCAAGAAAAAGGTTTGGGAAGATCTATCTAAGCGGTACCAGGTACAGCAGACAGTAAAATACACTACCCAGCTACCACTTGTTATTTCATGATGAATGATGATAATGCTGTACAGATTACCGTTTAGTGTTTCAGTACAGTTTACAGATTATTTGTTTTGAATTTATTATCTTAAAGAATGAGGACATCAGGCACTTCCTTGAAGAGGCTACCGTGATGGATCCACGCTTCAAAAATAAGCTACTTGCAGACAACATTTGGGAGAGGGTGAAACTGGCTGCAGTAATGGCACAAAACAAGGTATTGCTGTTTTCTTTCACACACACACACACACACACACACACACACACACACACACACACACACACACACACACACACACACACACACACACACACACACACACAGGGAACAATGCATACTGTCTGTGAACATCCGCTTCTAATGCGAAGCTCTCTGTAAAGGTGTCAGAAGAGCAGGAAAGGGGAAAAGGCCATGAGCAAGAAAAGGACAACACTTCAAAGGTAAATGCAAACTCAAAATGATAAAGATACATTGTCTGGTGTTGTTGACAAGGATATGTATTGTGTGCATATTACTAAATCACTAACACTAATTTTCTTGCTTTTAAGGAAGTGCCTTGCAAGAAAGTAAAAAAATGTCCATTAGCAGTTCTGTTTGAAAATGAGGATAAAGCTCTGCAGGGGACTGTGCTTCCAAATGCTACTGGCTTGTCAGTCGAGGAGAGAGTTGACAGAGAACTACTTTTCTACAAAGAACGGTCCTCAATCCCCACCTATGAAGACCCTGCTCTTTGGTGGTGGGAGAAGAGAGAGGCATTGCCTATTCTGTTTCACCTGTCTGAATCGTACATGTCTGTCCAAGCATCTTCTACTCCTTCAGAGAGAGTATTCTCCACTGCTGGAGACACAATAAGCCAGGAGAGGTCAAGAATTCTCCCAGAGAAAGCAGACATGTTGATTTTCCTTCAGAAAAATTGTTAATTATTTTGTTGCAAAATTGGCTAAATGCAGTAATATATGTTGATTTTTTAAATTTTTTTTACATTGCCAACCTGTAAATTAATTTGACAGTAAGTAATAAACACAAAAAAGATTGTTTGAGTTGAGTATTGTGCATTTTTTCTTACCACAATTTATTTATTAGTTGTTAAACAATTTTAATGGAACCGGAATCGGAACCGGAACCGTTAGGCGGAACCGGAACCGGAACCGGAAAATTTCAAACGATTCCCAACCCTACCCCCTCCTCAACGAGCGCCTCCTGGCGCTCCCGAGGAGGAGGATTGCCGAGACCGGAGGAAATCATTGATGAGCGAGGGATGCAGGATGTCCCGGGACGAGACCCAACTCCTCTCCTCAGGACCGTATCCCTCCCAATCAACTAAAAATTGATGCCCACGACCGCGACGGCGCATATCTAAGAGACGACGAACCTTGTAAACCGGGGAGCCCTCCACGCGAAGAGGGGGAACGGACGGACGAGCGGGGCGCGCACCGCCGGCTTGACATACGAAACATGGAATACTGGGTGGACACGACGGAAATTGGGAGGAAGCGAAAGCTTAACCGCCACGGGGCTGATGATTTAATGATGCGAAACGGACCGACAAAACGAGGAGCCAGTTTACGAGACTCAGACTGGAGGGGTAAATTGGAGGTGGACAACCATACTTTCTGACCACAGGCGTAGCGCGGACTTTTAACGCGACGCTTATTAGCGGAGATGCTCATGCGTCTCCTCGAGCGACACAGAGCTGATCTCACCCCTCTCCAAGTGCGCTTACAGCGATCGATAAACGCTTGGACCGAAGGTACATTAGACTCCGACTCCTGCGAGGGGAATAACGGAGGCTGATAACCCAGGCAACAATGAAACGGGGATAACCCGGTGGCTGAAGAAGGCAGCGAGTTATGTGCGTACTCAGCCCACACGAGTTGCTCGGACCACGATGAAGGATTACGGTGAGCGAGACTGCGAAGCATGCGGGCGACGATCTGATTGGCTCGTTCTGCCTGTCCATGGGTCTGGGGATGAAAGCCGGACGAGAGGCTAACAGAAGCTCCGATTAGATGACAGAACTCCTTCCAAAACTGAGAGGAGAACTGTGGTCCCCTATCAGAAACCACGTCGGTAGGAAGACCGTGAATTCTAAAAACCTGATCGAGCATGACCTGGGCTGTCTCCTTGGCCGACGGAAGCTTGGCGAGCGGGATAAAATGCGCAGATTTAGAGAAGCGATCAACAACCGTTAAAATGACCGTGTTACCCGCAGAAGGGGGAAGCCCAGTGATAAAGTCGAGTCCAATATGGGACCAAGGACGCGACGGAACCGGTAGCGGGCGAAGTAACCCAGCAGGGGGCGAATTACCAGTCTTAGTCTGGGCACAAATCCCACAAGCAGCTACAAATCGACGCACGTGTTGGATGTGCACTTGGAGAGAGGGCGAAAAAATCAAAATGTCGTCGAGGTAGACGAATACAAAGATATTCAGCATGTCCCGAAGGACGTCGTTTACGAGGGCTTGAAACACGGCAGGTGCGTTGACCAATCCGAACGGGAGGACGCGATATTCAAAGTGCCCAAGGGGCGTGTTAAACGCGGTCTTCCACTCGTCCCCTTCCTTTATACGCACGAGATGGTAGGCGTTACGAAGGTCGAGTTTAGTAAACACCCTTGCTCCCTGCAAGAGTTCAAAGGCCGAGGACATCAGCGGCAAGGGATAACGGTTCTTGACGGTGATCTCGTTCAGCCCCCTATAGTCTATGCAGGGACGCAAGGAACCGTCCTTCTTTTTTTGACAAAGAAAAACCCCGCGCCAGCGGGCGACGAAGAGGGAACGATGGTACCGTTACGTAGTGACTCGGAGAGATAATTCTCTAATGCCTCGCGTTCGGGAGCCGACAAGGAATAAAGTCGTCCCCGAGGCGGCATAGACCCTGAGAGTAGATCGATACTGCAATCGTACGGTCTATGAGGGGGAAGGGAAGTCGCCCGGGACCGACTGAACACCTCCCGTAAGTCGTGATACTCCTCCGGTACCCCCGTCAAATCACCCGGCCCCTCCTGCGAGATAGAGACAGAAGACACAGGAGGGATAGCAGAGGTTAAACACTTAGTGTGACATGACAATTTCCACGACAAAACAGAACAATTAGACCAGTTGATCTGCGGGTTATGCTGAACCAGCCAAGGGTGACCTAAGACAACTGGACAAAAGGGCGAACAAAAAACTAAAAAAGAAATAGTCTCTCTATGATTCCCCGAGACGGTGAGTGAGAGGGGAATAGTCTTTCTCTGAACTTTAGGAAGAGAACTTCCATCTAAGGCAAAGAGAGGGGTGGAGTCTCTTAAGTCTATTAGGGGAATGCCCTGGTCCATGGCCCACGCCTCATCGACGAAGTTTCCCTCCGCCCCCGAGTCCACCAGGGCGGAACAGGTGATAGAGGAACTAGACCATTGGAGAGAGACGGGCAGAGTAGTACACGACCTCGACGAAGAGTCCTTGGAAGATGCGCTCGCCAGTAGCCCTCCTCTTACTGGCGAGCGTTGGCTTTTACCGGGCACGTGTTGACGAAATGGTTGGGCACTGCGCAATACATGCACAGACGGTTGATTATCCTCCGCTCCCGTTCCTTGGCCGAGACGCGTAACCCACCCAGCTGCATTGCCTCCTGCTCCAGACCAGCGGGAGGCGGCAAAGTGACGGCGGGTGACGAGGACCGCCGAGGGGGCTCCGGACCACGAGCACGGCGGTGCAGGTCGAAGCGCTTCTCCAAGCGGATAGCCAGATCAACGAGAGGATCCAGGCGAGTGGGTGCTTCGCGAGCGTATATCTCCTCCCTTAACTCAGAGTTGAGCCCCTCCAGGAAGCGGGCTACTAGCGCCGGCTCGTTCCAACCACAGGTAGTCGCTAGAGTACGAAACTCGATAGCAAAATCCGCAGCAGAGCGTCTGCCCTGACGTAGAGAGGCTAGAATGTGGGATGCCTCAACCCCGTGGATAGAGCGATCAAAGACACGGATCATCTCAGTCTTGAACAGGATGAAGTCGTTCACACAGTCCGCCTCTGCCTCCCAGTTGGCGGTACCCCACTCCCGGGCTCGTCCGGCCAGCAGAGAGATGACGTAGGCGACTCGGGCTCGTTCAGAAGCATAAGTCGAAGGCTAAAAGGAGAAGACTACTTCGCACTGGGTCAGGAAGGCGCGACACTACACGGGCTCACCCGAGTAGCAGGGGGGATTGTTGACCCGGGGCTCCGGTGACTCGCGCTGGTCTCGAGGCGCGGGACTCTCATGACGTAACTGGCGAAGCTGGGTAGAGAGCGATGAAACTTGAGAGGCGAGGGATTCGACGGCCTGTCTCGCGGCTGAGAGCTCTTCCTCATGCCGTCCCAGCATGGTTCCCTGGAACTTCACCGCCGATTGAAAGTGGTTGCTGCTCGCTGAGTCCATCATGGCCAGATTATTCTGTGATGATGTGAGACAGAAAGAGGACCCAAACGCGTCTGCAGCAATGAATCAGTTTAATGAACGGAAAGAAGTCCACTGGTAAGGACTGTTCACAAATAATATAATGTTCAACAAAGGATGACCCGCCGAGCGGGTAACAGGCGTGACTCTCTTCTCAGGCTGACCAGCGGAGGCGGCAGGTGAAAGCAGACACCGGAGGACCACTACTGCCCTGGCGAGCAAGGGAGGAAGATCCCTCCGAGTAGCACAGTGCTGGACAGGAAAGGACTGGACAGGACTTCGCACGAGAGGTGACAAACACGTCTTGGCACTGAATAATCTGGCAAAGAGGTAGAGAAAAGCAGGGGTAAAAGAAGCCGACAGAATTAGAGAAAAGGGAGAGCAGGTGTGAAAGAATGATTGGATAACGAGCATAAGGCAGCCGCAGCTGTAGATAATGAAACAGCGGAGAAGCGAGAACAGAAGCGAGAACACATGATAACCAACAGGGGGAGACAAAGAACCGAGAAAGGGACCAGATTCATGACATCCCACTTACACTTTGAAGCCATTCTACTAGACAAGATTGTGAGGTCTAATACTGACTCTTTTCCAGTTCTAATATCAATCCTAGTCCGTCTACCATCATTCAAACACACTAAATTCCTATCATTCATCACCTCCTCAATCACCTGTCCATTGTTGTCTGTCTTTTCTGCTCCCCACAGTGTATTGTGAGCATTAAAATCTCCACACATTACAACATTATTTCTATCCTGACCTTCTATTTCATCTAGTTTATTTACCTCTAACTGTTTACAGTGGTTATAATAATTTATTATTACTACTTTCTTTTTATCTGCCCACACTTCCACTACCATGTATTCTTGCTCCTTCCCTATACCCAACACCCTGTATGGTACCCCCTTCCTTACAAAGGTAGCACACCCCCCACCACTTCCTTGCTCTCTATCTTGTCTGATGGTGATATAATTAGATACAACAAAATCAAATCTAGGTTTTAACCATGTTTCCTGAATACACATTACATCAGGTTTTTCACTTCTACTATCTATAAACTGTTTAAAATCTTGACCATTTGCCAACAGACGCCTTGCATTCCATTGGAAAATGATCATAATAAATATTATCATCCCTTACCTCCTTCCTGACTGGAGTGTACAGCAAGACATTCCCTTATTTCTTCTCATTTTAAGTCTGGCATGCCCAAATGCTGAATTGCTGCCTTTGCTATGATTTGAATCCTTTCAATTTTGGACTTAACCTCAGCTGTTGCATTAATTACTCCTCAGACATCCCAACCTGCAAGAATTCATTTCCGGGAGGTATATTTCGGTAACAGGATCTTGGGTGGGAGGGAGGGCTAACTTTCGCGTCTGCGAGGCACACTCGGTCTCTCCCTCTGTACAGTGCACGCGCAGCGCGCTATGTATGTTATGCGCGCAGTATGTCTCGCTCTAGATTCCGGGAGATTTGAACTAATTTGCGGGCATCAGGGAGACGCTATCAATATGCGGGAGACTCCCGGGACTTCCGGGAGACTTGGGATGTCTGACTCCTGCAATAAAGATAACCAAGTTCCTCTTTTCACCCCAC